ATAATTTTTTTTCATTGCTGTACATATGAGGTATAACACGTTCATTACGTATAAGAGAGAAAGTGTGTTTTAAACAGCACGGTACACTGTCACATGACCGTGCAATACAACATTTTCATTGCATGATGAAATGTCAGTAATAGCAATGGCATAAAAAGACTCCACGTAAAATAATTTTAAGCGTCAGCTGTTAATGGCGGAATCGGATACCTGTCTTCTGGCAGGCTGTGAACATGACAGATGATTTGTTTTACTACTCGGGAAGATTTGAAACATTTTAAAGCAGAAGATAAAGCAGGATACCAAAGAAAAAATTGATTTGTTTTTGTGATTTATATTGAACGCGACCTGCTACAATGTACGGTCAACTACCAGCACTTTAGACAAAATAGCATGATTAAAGGATTTCAATGCATTAAGTATCTGCATAATATGACAAACATCTAACACATACAAGATATGTGAAGTTATTCATTGAAAACAAGACAAACATGTGATCTAAATATACAGTGTAAAACAGATGTTGATCTATTTTATTTCACATAATGTTTAATGAAACGAATTTACATTTGATAGTTGTAAAAGTAAAGATGAGGGGAACAATACCAAATGGAGACAGCCATTTTGGTTTCGCCATTGTCAATTGATGACGTGACGTCATTGCCAATATCGTATGACATCACAATCGATTTTTGACTGGTGCAAACAGTTAAAATCCGTCCAGTCATGCTAGTGACTTAAAAATATTGATGGTCGAAATCACTGTATAACAGGCAGATTAAGAGACGAAAAATACAAACCCCACAATTACCAGAATTTATTCATAATGAACGTACAATCATGACAGAAAGTGAAATTATAATCTTATCTGTAGCGAAATAGCCTGGCTTACTAGCCTTTCTTGTTATTTGAACTGATTGATGCTGTATTCCCAGCATGCCCGGTCGAGGTAACTGAAGACTCAGGGTTTATTTTTGTGGTGTCTTCTGACAAGACGACCTTAAAAAAGATTACGCTAGACATGTCAATCCCACCGGAATGTTGGAGATCTTGACACTTACCTTTCATTCATATCTTCTCTCTCTTTCCTTGTTTCCTTCTCAAAACGCCATTAAAGAAATAAACAAAACAAACATGGCTATTTATATATAAAAATGTAATAAAAGACATATTACATATCAACAAATAACAGGTGAGATACATCTTTGATAAGGTCGTATGTACCGAAAAAACCCACATAGATTTCTACGCTTAACATCACTTTACCTGGCTGTATTCGATAGTCTGTTAATAAAGTACACATATTTACCAATATAAGCACATGAACCATTAATGAATTACACATATTTACCAATATAAGCACATGAACCATTTATATATTACACATATTTGTACCAATATGAGCATATGAACCATTTATGAATTACACACATGTACCAATATAAGCACATGAACCATTAATGAATTACACACATATGTACCAATATAAACACATGAACCATTTATATATTACACATATTTGTACCAATATGAGCATATGAACCATTTATGAATTACACACATGTACCAATATAAGCATATTAACCATTAATAAATTACACATTTAACAATATAAGCACATGAACCATTAATGAATTACACATATTTACCAATATAAGCACATGAACCATTTATAAATTACACACATATGTACCAATATGAGCACATGAACCATTATAAAATTACGCATATTTACAATATAAGCACATGAATATTATTAAATTACACACATCTACCAATATAAGCACATGAACCATTAATATATTACACATATTTGTACCAATATAAGCATATGAACCATTTATGAATTACACACATGTACCAATATAAGCACATTAACCATTTATGAATTACACATTTACCAATATAAGCACATGAACCATTAATAAAGTACATATAGATACCAATGTAAGCACATGAGCCATGATAAGTAAACTCTTTATTTAAACAACCACTTACCGTTTTATTACCGAAACAATCTTCTCTACATATATCCCTTTACGAACAAACCGGCACGTTTGTCCATAGGAAAACTATATACATTATATATAGTCACCGGTTAACATCGTGCCAATTACGTTTTCATATAAACCAGTGTTTACCCTAATTATGTTATGGTCAAAACTCTTTTATTTATCGCAATATCGGATCTAATTAGCCCTGCTTAGTAGCATCGAAACATTTGATCAATTCAAGCGGATCTATGAGATCGCTTGATCCAGCAGTTGTATTGGCGGGATATATTTGATGAGAGGTTGGTATAATATACGTTACATGTTAAAGTCTGTGCCTAATCTTTATATTTGTGGGTGTGTGAAAGGCCTATCGGATGAGCCATTGATTTTTTTTCAGTCAGAAGATTCCTGCAATATAATAACAGAGACGACGTCCCAAAAGAGGATATCTGCTTCGCTTTATATCACATACATTTTATAGGACCGATCGATGGTTTCACCAAGGGCCGTCCCGAAATAAAACGTGTATACATTATTCTAATATCTTGGATTTCTGTCCTAGGATTGCCGTCGACTGGAGCGTACCTATACTGCTGCGTAGAAATGCTGTCGTTATGTATAATGAACAATATTACAACCAAACTGTAAACGAAGCACATAAAGTTATCCATACGTAGATTTGAGATATTCCGCCCAAACAAACTGTTACCGGCATGTCTCCGACTCAATCTTCTTCAGCAAAATGTGTTATACATTGGAGCAACCTTAACTACGTGACGTTAGAGTGGAAATCACTGCGGGCTAATGCGGCCTAACAAACCTAAATGACTACGTTATGGCTGACAATTTAACGGGTAAATGTAATCATAACATCGTCATCAAACATGGAGGAAATGTCTGGAATCAAGAATCGTAATCAAGTCATAACATGCTGATAGAGAGGACTATAAAAACGTTATAATTCCTGTATAAGTGGTTATTCATATAATGATTCTACATGTTCATCTAGAACAGATAGACCACCGACATGGGTAGTATCACACGTATTATCGAAATAGTATCAAATGGAATGGAACATGTACTTCTGCCGAAACATTAAAGCAATATTGTGTCTTTAATTGGTGTAAGATGCATAATTACTTAATGTTGTTTTACGCACATCCGGTATTTAACGTTACTTACAAAAATCCACCCACGATCAGAGATGACATGATAGTGTCCCATAGTTGGCATTTACTTAAACAACCAGAGGGCGTGCAAGTCAAACCTGCCGATTAAATAAAGTATACATGTTAGAACATCCGAATATATATGTGTTGTGGGGCAGGGATGAATGTCAGACAGCATGGACTTTCATTTTGTTACATCGAATAGCAATAGTAGAGAGGTATATATAGATATACACTATGACTGGAGAGCAGTGTCTGGTTCTATTGTAGCCAATACAAGTAAACGAATACATACTATGAATTTACATCGATTTTCTTATCGTTTGTTGAATTCACAAACCTAGTTTGATAGCCCACGTAATATAATATACCCCGCGCACATTTACAGATAATGCAATCTCCTGGCACTTTAAACACACAACAAATAGGTCTAGTTTAATAAAAAGGAACACCGTTGACGAATGTGATGGCAAATCAAATAACACATATAAATCTGAAGGAGAATTCGCTTGTATGAAATAAAAAGCGTTAAAAGCCTATTAGACAATATTGTATTTTGATTGGTCAACAGATTAAAATTCTAGTGGATCAGTACGTAAAAGCAAATTTGTACTATTGTATAGAGATATGCAGGGACATTGCCAAGTCATACGTTGGTGTATTCGAGAGCAGATTCACTTGCTGATAAACAAGTATACGTTTTCATCAGCGTAAAAGGTTCGATTATAAATCTATTTTTGTCGGTGTGATGGTAAACAGTTTGATAGACGCAATATAATTATCATAACTGTGTAGACCCCAGTCCCTAAAGACCTAACGATTGATCGAATCGCCTTTAATACCTATACCGCCCTCTGCCAAATGAATCCATGTAATGTTACGGTACACTGAACAGACTTTCAAGACGAGATGGAAATGTTTCTATTTCTGTATACTCGTTGATGTCCACGCTATCTTATTTTTCCAATAAAATGTTGTTTTTATATCTTAATATATCATTTATCGTCGATTATGAATTATTTTAATCTAATTTTCATGACGAGAAAATGTTGTGGCATAAAAAAGGTGTGATGTAGTTCGTCCCTTACCTGTTAGCAATATTCTCTACAAGTCATTGCCTTACAGTGTTACTTCTGTCTAACACCGAATATATGTATGTATTTAGATAATATAGTATATCGTATTGTCTTTTCAGAAAACAGGTCGGAGATCCAGGACAAGTCTACGGAGACCATCCTTATACTTGTTTGTGGAAGTATTTTAATTGAGGATTTGTAAGGAAGTGAAATAACACATGAAAATCCTGTTGTATGGGGGATACTAGTTATCATTGTAGAGTGTTTGTGCGACCCTGTAAAGCTGCCAACATATCTTAGTGTTGTGGTCACACGGGGAAAAGTCACTTATTTTCTATGTTCTTTGTAAATGCTACAGCTCATCGTCGTGCTTTTTGCCATTTTGATTCTTCAAAAGTAAAGTGCTGTCCGCTCTCGGAATTCTCTTGACGATAATCGACCTATCAGCATTGTTGTGTCAAAGGTTCAACCATTAACAGGAAGTCGGCCTCAGCACGTCAGCGACAAAACTGTGTGTCGGGGCAATAATTCAAACATAAGCAGTGATCACCACAACACAGCTAGTAGAGGTTGGGGATATTCATCGTGTGTCGTTAGTTGTAAATGTTGATTTGCTGTTTGCTGTTGGTCGAAAACATGTCGACTCTACACTGCGGCCATGGATGGCACATATTATACGTAAACGCGGTTATGAATCTCAGCTTTCAACCATAAGGATATTCTGTGACACGTGGAACTACTACTGTCAAATCTATATAACCATGAAAAGCTCTCTTTGCTGGATCTACCGGATTATCAAGTGGTCCTCCATACTTCTTGTCATTCCATTCGCTCAAGGTAAGTAGAAAACTAGTAGATATGGACGTCCTTTACGATTGCAATTGTTATCAGCATTGAGAAACAATTCGTCTTAATCTTAGAAAAAAAATCACAATTTTAAGGCGGAATATGACTGTTAAAGCTTTTTTGATCGCATGATCAATATCGATCACGTCATTCATTATTACATCCCCGACTAAGAGAGATCATAATGTGGAAACGCAATAGTATGTTTACCTGGGTTGAAGATATCACGACTGCGTGGTGTATATGTAGATATACATAGATGTACTTTGTCATTTAACTGAACCAAACTAATGCGCGTGCCATTGTTTAAACGAAAAATATTTGCATTCCCTACACGAAATTACTGAAAATTGAAAATTCATTCAATTTATCTAATGCTGAAATAAGGCAAGCGCTAAACGTATCTAATTATAGATTTGTTACCCAGATGTTTCGCTCTCGAACATTATTGTGATGAATCAACTTGAATATATCCAAGAGAAATATGTATTGGAATTACTGTGTTAATTTAGCGGAAAGATTCCTGAAGCAACATATAAGTGCGGAAATACGACTGTGTAATAAGACAAATTTCATTTTCTAACGTAAAAGTTATTTGACGTCAAGAAGTCGTTAACCTCTCCCAAACCATTGTGAACACGGTTGAAGAAAACGGGACGCGGTAGCACATTATCATGCCAAATGTACGCATATATTTTATATAGCTGTACAATTTTATCTATCGTAATGCTGATTCACTGTTTACTAGGGGCGGTAATTGAGCAATTTCTGAAAGCAATTTAATCTTCGCATACATATAAATTTTCCCATGATTACCACCAGGAAGCAAAACCAGTCAGCATTCATAGTTTAAGTCTAGTTAACATTGAACATACAGCTGCTATATGCATGTCATATTAATGTATTCCTGCTTGGAATAAGAAGTCTGAAAAGGTAAACAGAGGCCGCTTAATCTCTTAAACAGTATATATACCTGCACTATTGGAATATGTTTCTGTTAGCAAAGTGCTTTTGATGTAGCAAGTGATAGGTACCATTAGAAAGCCTTGATATTATGGACGCTAAGGTGAAAGCATCTATTCTGAACTTAAATTATGATATATGTGTATCCCATAATAGCAGACACATATAATTCATTAATGGAGTGTATACCATCATACGACTACCGTTATATATCAATGTTAAAGAAAAGATACTTGACAGTAAATGCATACAAATTGTTTACATCTCCACTGTTGACAGTTAATAATCTGAATTTTGACAAAAATGAAAATATCAAACATCGCCATAAATGTAAACGCATTTCATAGAAAACAGACGATAAATCTACAAGTGAGTAAATGTTTATTTAGATACTGCTTAACAAATCATTATCACACCATGAAACATTAAATGGAGACTCTCCCGGTACTCCTGCTACTTTTAAACATTTGGGTTCATCACAGAAGTTCTCCCATTCCTGATGTAAATAAAATTGTATTCAATTATACACTGAATTTGTCCTGGTAGTAACAACATCGCTTGTCTGAGGTTTTAAGTCCTCGTAACAGCCGTAATGAAATGAAAACGATTACAAGAAATAACTAAGTCTTTTCAAACATTTCGTCACAGCATAGTAATGCTAGTATGAAGCTCATACAGGTCACATGATACTGACAGCGGGCTATCTATTCAATGCTGAACGTGTTATTAAACGGCATACAGAGAACAAAGAATATCATTTTGGTGATTTAGATATATCAGGAAAACCTTCCTCATATCAGCTAGAGCCCATTGCAACATTGATACAATATCGGGAATTAAAGGTCGCGAGTGTTTGTTGAAGATAGAAGCGCCAACGATCCTAATTTAAATCGCCTTCTTGTGTATGTGTGCATGTATGTTTGGTAAAGGGGGGGTGGGGGGTGGGGTGGGGGGGGAGGGTTGTGTTATTCATATGCTTGCGACCTTCAGATTCAGTGTATATGAGGTAATGGGGGTATTATTCATATGCTTGCGACCTTCAGATTCAGTGTATGTGAGGTAATGGGGGTGTTATTCATATGCTTGCGACCTTCAGATTCAGTGTATGTGAGGTAATGGGGGTATTATTCATATGCTTGCGACCTTCAGATTCAGTGTATGTTGGGTAAGGGGTATTATTCATATACCTTCAGATTCAGTGTATGTGAGGTAATGGGGGTATTATTCATATGCTTGCGACCTTCAGATTCAGTGTATGTGAGGTAATGGGGGTGTTATTCATATGCTTGCGACCTTCAGATTCAGTGTATGTGAGGTAATGGGGGTGTTATTCATATGCTTGCGACCTTCAGATTCAGTGTATGTGAGGTAATGGGGGTATTATTCATATGCTTGCTTGCGACCTTCAGATTCAGTGTATGTGAGGTAATGGGGGGTTATTCATATGTATTCAGATTCATTGTATGTGATATGCATATGCGACCTTCAGATTCAGTGTATGTTGGGTAAGGGGTATTATTCATATGCTTGCGACCTTCAGATTCAGTGTATGTTGGGTAAGGGGTATTATTCATATGCTTGCGACCTTCAAATTCAATGTATGTTGGGTGAGGGGTATTATCCCTATGCTTGCGACCTTCAGATTCAGTGTATGTGGAGTAAGGGGTATAATTCATATGCATACGATCTTCAGACTCACTGTATGTAGAAGGATCTGCGTAATAATTTACTCTTGTTATAATAACTCAAATGATATTCATAATATTTCAATATCGTTTTTGGTATACTATGTACAACATGTACCGAAGATGAACTGTAAGACTTTAAACATAAACTAAATGGACATTATATTTTTTAAAACAGAACATTGCTACTTAAATCGTGAATAAAGTTTACGAATATAACCCACTTTTACTTAGGCTGGAACAATTGGAAAAATCGTTGAACTTTGGTGAAAATGTTACTCTTGAGGGAGACTGGAACTCTAATTGCCAAATGGGCGATTAAAAAAACTGTCAAACTTTTTTTAATACATGCAATATAGGTAGAACTTCCTTCAGGGACCCGCATTTTCTTCCCACGGAACCACCATGCCCATAAAAGATTTGGCATCACTCGGGATTACAGCAATTTTGGAATGGCATTGTCTCCGTGTTTTCGAGATCTGTTTGGAATTGCATTTCCAGCCCCTTTGGGATGACAATTTTGGGTGAAAACCGGTGATAACATTTGTGGTAATTACTGTAGTAAATTTCCATTCACACCATGAAAAATCCAAATCCTGTTCGCAATTTGCATGCTTAATGGCATTGATGACGAAGGCAATGCGGTCAACGCGAAGGTTAATCGCGAGGGGAATTAGCAAGAAATAACCACGAACAGTTTAGGTGTTGGAATTTGTAACAATAGTCAAATTCACATGAATAGTTACACTCTTGGGTTTGTAAAAGTTACGTGCAGAGGAACATGTGGCATCTGTGTTTGTTAACGATTAATGTCATTTGTGTCGGAGCATTGTGATCGCAAATACTGTAAGGTAACACACTTATGCTTGTATATCTGAATAATGTACTATAATAGATAAACTACGTAAGAAGCTCCTTCTGTAAATTTTAGTACTAGATGAAGGTTTTGTAACGACCTAAATAAAACTTAAATTAAAATAAAATCCACGGATGTCTGTTTACCTGTGACTTAAAGTACTAACACTTGTTACAATATAACAATTACACATTAAATTACTTTATTCCACAGATACCCCAACACACCTTAACTACATCACTTTAATACATAAATTTTCAAACACACCTGAGACAGACTTGTGAAATTCTCTTATTGTAGAATTATTTGATAGGTGCATGTTTGATGTGTAATTAATATTTTAAATCTGATACTAAGTAAATTTAGAATGTGTCACAGCTGATGTTTTTAATTTGATTTATTTTTCCTGTTGTCTACCGGATATAAACCAAGCGTCATGTTTTCAGTTTGTTATACATTGATATAGATATAGATATAGAGCTGGTTTCTTCAGATATTATTCACTACATCGCAGTTAAAGCACTTGTGAATCTCGACGATGACACATTAATTCCAAACCTTTTTCTGTTAGAACTTTCAGAACGAATTTGTGAATCCTTGGATATACAATAACACTATATGGACATTTAAACTTCATTTCTCGGCGAAATGCCAATCTTGCACAATTATTTGCTCTAAAAAATAAACAAAACTGACAAAATATTAAACTACTTAGTGGTTACTCAAGCATTCTGCATTTTTTTCCATTCGATTTAGGTTATTTGCAAACAAAAAAAAAAAAAGGGGGGGGGGGCTGAATCTAATGAAGAGCTTATCAAAACAGGTGACAGCAACCTTGTAAAGTCGTTTAATTTCACCTTTAGATATACTAATGACGTCTTGTCTTTAAATAACAAGAAAGTTATCGACTACGTCCATCGTATATATCCACCACAACTGGAAATCAAAGATACAACAGACTCTTCTACATCAGCTGTTCAATCTGTTCTCACAAGGAAACCCACAGACAATTTTCTGTCGATCTGTATGATACACATGATGATTTCAATGTCCCTATTGTGAAGTTTCTTTTTCTGAATAGCAATATACCTGCATCTCCAACCTATGCCATTTAAATGTCACAGTTGGTTCGATATTCATAGGTCTGCCCCCATTATCACGATTTCCGTGAAAGAAGTCGTCAACTGACTGACAAACTTGTAACATAGGGTTCAAAATATGGAGGTTGAAAAAAAATGTTGTATAAATAACTCTCATTTGAGATTATGACATTACCTACTTGGATTTACCGGGGTTTACATGGCGAGTGTCGTCGATGAAGCATTAGACGCTTACTCTTCCTGAAGACCTGTTCGTATTATCCTTGTACTTTTTTCAGGTGTCTTCCTGTAAATCTTTTGCCCTGGGTTTATGGAATTTGAGTTTGAATTAAGATTATGTTGCTATGTTGGTATTATCTTTGTTGATGTTTTTGTATTCTTTTACGT